CACTGCAGGGGTGAAATGAAGCCATAAATAAAGCACACACAATTCAATAAACTACAAATAATAGAAAAGCATAGACAATTTAAGGAATTATCATTTGTGCTAATGGTTTACGCCCATGAGAGATGAGCATGAAGACAGATATTAAGATGAAGTGGCACAGCACAGCGCAGCTTGTGTGACATTTTCATTTTCAATACGACACACCACAATGGAAAGAGATAAGAGGTGCGCTTGTTAAGAAAGTTACACACAAAGGGATTCAAAAATACACACACATTTAAATACATGTTCATCATTCAGACCTTGTTCCTCAACCGCATGAATGAGTAATGGGGGTGATGAAAGACAGCGTGTGGGGGTACAGCTCGTGAAAAGTTGGATCAGCAGTGAGCAGCAGCAGCCAGGCCAGCTGTCATGGGATGTGTGAGGGGGGGGGGGGATCAGTGTTTGTGGGGGGGCCATAGGATAGTGACTGCATCCTGAGGCCAGTCTGGGGAGACTGGGACCAAGACTGCAAACCAAAACATTACCTCTGCTGCTCCGGCACTTAGACAGAGCCGCAGGGCTGTAAAACGTAGGCAGTGTCAGTCAGACAGTCCCCAACGAAGAAAAGGAAAACCACCGCACTCTGAATGAATACAATCATGTTGCACATAGAAACAAAACCGGCCACAACAAAACTTGAAAACTAACTGACAAAGACTGAAATGTTAAACGCAGACAGTGCATAATGTACGACAAAGACCGTTGATAAAAAGTGCTCATGTTCTCCAGCGGTAGCTACCTGCTAGGGCTGTATCCGGGCGGCTGGTGTCCCAAATCAGGGGGGACTTGGTGGCGCCCACAGCCAACAGGCCGGAGGAGGTGGGGTGGAAGAGCACCAGCTCGATCCTGCCCTGCCCGGGACGCAGGGTCAGCTCCGGGCTGCTGGGCTGCTGCAGCTCAGGGTCAACCAGACTCCACAGCTTCACCTGGACACAGAGAGAGAGGGGAACGTCCCAAAGGTGGGTTAGGAGCATCGCTTTCACTTTAACACAACTTACAATCCAAAGGTCCAACCTGCTCCTAACCTTCTAGGCTGTAAAGTTCACTTTTGTCCACCCTAATAAGGCCAGTGAGACTTTCAGATACTGGGTCTGACATTTGTTTTACTTTCCATTTTTAGACCTAACATTTAATCATTTAATCTAGTAAACTAAAATTGCCACCTTGCAGTTGTATGCCTCTGATAACCTGTCAAGTTGTGATCTACTTCCATGACTGTCCGACTGCTTCTCTTAATTATGATATCCTGTATGACATGTATGTGAATTTGTTATAATTATCATATGACGTTTTTAAATAAGGCCAAAGATGTGTTTTGTGAGATCACCATGACCTTAATCATTGACCACCACATTTTAACCCACATTTTAACAACTCGGAGACATAAGGTCTTATGGCTAGGCTGTAGCCGGAATTAAAGGCAATATAAACAACTGATTATTTGATCATGAAAAGAATGGTTGGTTGAAGCCATACTAGTAAGAGGGATGGAGAAAGATCCCTAAATGAACATCTAAAAAAAATCTACATTCAGCACCACAGCCAGAGATGAGGCGGTCCTTAAGTGATGCTATCCTGCTATCTAGCTTAATGGTAATACTGCACTGCTTTACTTGGTGTTTGGGTTCAGCTTTGGATTTTATTTTTAATGCCGACATATAAGATCTGATGACACAAAACTGCTTTGCTTTATTTAAGTCAGTAAACATATTCATATTTCACTGAGTTTGACTCTCATTTCCTTGCTCAGCTCAAACCAGTCGGTGAAACAATATAGCCTTTTGGCAACGGATAAGAAGGATAAAAGTGCAATGCCAATGCTGGGCACTGCGGCAAAGACCTGTGAGTGTTTCTGTGTGTGTGTGTTGTGTTATAGGTCTGTGTGTGGCAGAAGATGCCTGAGGTAAACCGAGCTGCTGAGACTGAATATGCAGACCCACACTCAGCAGACTCCAGTAAGCTCAGCTACCTGTGGCTGGGAATCATTTGCTGAGAGGAAGGAGTCTTCCAAAGGTTTAAATAACAAAAAACAAGCGGGTTCATATCGTATTCAAAGCCCTGCCAGGAACAACAAAGCCTGAAAGGATGGTAATGGGCTTTTGTTTAAGTATGAAACAACAAGATCAATATACAGAAAGAGAAAAGAGATCTCACCGTTTCATCTCCAGAGCATGTTGCCAGGAGACTTTCAGCAAAAGGAGAAAAGTCCATATCAGTCACCAGATCTGAGAGAGGAGGGAAAAACTATTTAGAGTCACGACTGTCTATCCTAAATGTCCTTTCTGAGCAAAAGCATTAGTATGTCTCATGTGATTGTTTTTTGTGTAGAGACTTTGAGGAGTGTCCTTCAGGGTCGGGGGATTTGCAGTCAAGCAGAGGAAGGAACAAATGAGGAAAATAATATGATGTGTAGGCAAAACTTCAAAATAAATGTTACCTGAATGGCAGGGAAGCTGTGTGACTGTCCATTGGCCATCTGAACCAGGTTTGACCGAGGACAGTCCCAGCATACCTCCACCTACCGAGACAAAATGTAAAACAGTTCAAACTTACCTCTTTTGTTTTTACATGAGAAAAATATATCCTTTTTATTTAAACTTGATTCAGTCATCTCCATATTATCAATTGATTACACGAGGACACTTTGTGAGACACAAGCAGTATTGTAAACAATCAGTCTGAGGCAAATGTTGCTGTTGACCACTCATTCATAGCCTTACCAGCCTGCTCGGTGTTAAAGACCACAAACTTAGAGCTGGCTTTGATGTGGTTCCCCTGGCAGGAGAAGGAGCCAGCTCGGACGTTGTTAATCCATTCCTGGATGTGAAATACATAGAGAGAACAAGTAAGAAATGGAAATGGATAAAAACAACATGTTGAATAGTGTGCATAGATAATTGGGGTCAGACAACATGACAGAGAAGAAAATAAAAGAGTTAAGTTGACATGGCTACAGTTGCAGAACCAACTTCCTACATTCAATCTAAGAACAAAATCGCTATCACAACTAGTAGAAACTAACACATGAGATAAACGGGAAGGATCTAGCTGAGAACACACACACACACACACACACACACACACACACACTTCATTAAGTGTTGAGGAAGTAGAACAGCTCCCTGTGTTGCACAGCAGATGCAACATTAACAAGGCAAGAGCAGCAAGGGGAATGACAGACATTTGGCCTACAGTAAGACATTTTAAAGCTTGCATATATATTTACAAGTGTACACAGTATACATATGTGTATGTCAAAACAGTAGACATCACACAGGTATGGAGCATCTTTTCCTGTATAGAAAATATGTATGTCTCTTTTTTAGAACAAAATGCTTGTCTTAACATGCATTTGAGGTACCATGTTAAATATATTGTCAGTGTATTCTTAATTTTTTAGGAGTAAAAAGCCTGACTATTCTTACAAATGGCCTATAAGAAAGAGCCATGGCACTAACAACTCTGCTTAGTCAGGGGATTAGGAGACAAATCAGCACCAGCCAAATAATACATTAAACTATCCGGTGACTATTCTCTCTAACAATGTCTTAAAGTATTTTCTGAGGAGAAGACATCCCGCTCGTCTCATTCCATCCTTGTAAGAATGTCTCCCGTAGCACTGTTGTTCCCTGCCCTTTATCTCTCTTTGACAGTGTTGATATGATAGCTCCCATCACATGACTTCAGTGCTGGAATAGCTACAATCACACATATGCATTGGTCTGCTGAGTGAAGGCCGAGTTTAACATGCATGGCAGCAAAGCACCACCTGCTGTCTCAGATCCTGCGCGAGATTTGAGAGAAGACCTTCCTCTGTCCCTGTGAATACCAGGCATTTTACTTCCTCTGTAAAAACGAGGTATGGGATTACACAATCCACCTCAGTGAGGAGAGCTGCAGGCGTTGCAACTTGAAATGGGTCCAGAGGACGAGACAAATGTCAATTTTGCATCGCGTCCAGACAAGTCTCACCCTGCAGCCTACAGGACACTTATCACTGAGAGAAGGACCATATCAATTATAGCATTTGCCATTCAAATGTTTTATCTTTCCCTTTGGCTGACATAGTAAATCTCTGCAATAGAACTCCACATGTGCAGTTACAAGTCGCACAGCAGCACATGATCATTAAAAAGCAATAAGAAAACTCAGTTAGCTACATTATAATAGCACAATGATGGCGTCACAGCATCATCTGATGTAGGCTAGCAGCTCTGTCTCTTTGCAACCACATGGCTGGTAGTTTTCACTACGTGTCCATAGTTCGTGTGAATACAAGTGAGTAAGTTTAGATATTCGTGTAGATGTCTCAACACTAAGCAGCCTTCCAGATGCAGGAAGTTCAACATCCCTTGCAGGCAGGCGTTCCCCAAAACACAACTTAAGTAGCACAGCTAATGACCAAGGCTAATGTTAGCTAGGATAACTGGCTTCTTTCAGACGTTCGCAAGTTACTCACATCTTTCTTGCCAATTTTTGGAGTGGTGTTTTTGAATTTGGAGGTCTTAAAGCGATTCATGCTGATCTCTCAAATTGACTTTCGTGCCTTCCGGGTGTCTCTGTCGAGCTGGTTGGTACACAGGACTCCTGCTACAGCTGACAGTTCAGGTTGGCCGTGGGGTGTCTGCTCGTTTTGCTCCACAGAGCTGTGCGCTTGGGCGGAGCTTTGATTTTCCAACATAGAAATCTCTGCCCTGTCAAACCGTCACTAGCTTCCCCGGGTATTAAAACATGCGCATCTTTTTTCTTGACACGTTTGATGCTATTTACACACACACACACACAATAAAACTGATGTCTGAACACTTTTAGTCAGCACTATTTGTTATCTATTGTAGACACTTGCGTTGAGTTTAAATAAAGTAGCAGAAGGTTAAGATACACTTTTGCAAGTCGTTTTTTTGGAAGAGCATCATCTTGAATCACAGAGAACATCTTTGGCTCTCGGTGACGCCCACTCTGTCCCGCACATGCGCAGTGAGTGCGGAGCAGCGGCTAGTGAAGGAATGATGGCGTCTTCGGCTGTCCGAGGCTCCTCACGCTGGATAACAGTTATCTTGTCCTCTGGACCTCATGGGGCCACCGGTGCCGGTGTCTGCGCTGGCCATGGAGGCGTCCGTAGTATCTCTTCCCTGGGAGCAGGAAAACTGTGTCGGGGAGGTAACCTAATGTGTGGAGGAGCATGGAAAGCGTTGACATTGAAAGGGGTGTCAGGTGAGTGCTGTCAACCCATATGGTACCCGGCCTAGGCTAAGCTAGGCTAGGCTAGGCTAACTGTTTTGTAATTGCTGGTTTACTCATTTGACGCAGGATAAAACAACTAACCTAAATGCGATTTATAGGGCTCGATTGATCATTTAACATATGATGAGATTTTAACACAAAACGCATTATTTTTCGTCCACGTAGAGGTAACTTTGATTTGGTGTCATCAAGTAGAATACTCAAGGTGGTGATGCCAGGGTTACATCTTATACATAACGTTTGTTTGAAATGTAACTTTATCATCATGCAAGCAAAAGGAAAGTGCAGTTGCGGCCTACTCAAATGGTGTATTATATTCTAAGAGATAATAAATAACAGCGACACAAGGTACAGAAATCAAGCAATGTGAGAACAAATATAAGCATTATGAAGTATGATTCTATAACGATATAGTGAAGTATAATTTTGCAAAGTACACCAGTAAAACACAAGTCTTACTCATTTGGAGTGATGTCCATTGGTGGTTGTTATGCGTTTTACCCCTTGCCCCAACTGGGGTCCAACATTAGTCCAAACTTTCATTAATGTGTCACCACTTACGAATCCCCAAATAGATAACACTGCTTTTATTGTTACCAACCATTTGTAATTGCTATTGGTAGTGCCTAGCACATTTTGTACCATTTGCAAGTAAATCATGTTCTGTTATATAAACGTTTGCGTTTCTAGAATCTTCTTCAGGTCAGGTTAACTTGCTGGCCTGTCCTTTTTGTCCTTTTTTGATTGTGTCAGCTAAGCCTATCTTCAGTCACCGTACATAACAATGCAGATTATTCAATTTAGCTGTTACATGGTGGCAAAACTATACAGTCGGTTATCAAATGAAACCTGAATGCAGCTCTACTTTTCTAAATTGTATAGACTTACCCTTTTACCCTGGTTTGACTATTTTCAGGTAACAACTCCCCCTTTGCTGCGTCCACACTGTCCTTTCACACAAGTTCTCCTGCTAGCAGCAAGCAGGACTTCTACCAGACCCTCGGTGTACCTCGCACAGCCACCCAGAAAGAGATCAAGAAAGCATACTACCAGGTCTGCCTCACACACATGCACAGCTCCATCTTGGATAACCAATCCTCACAGTAGTTAACAGTGTGTTTTGTTGTCCCTTAGATGGCCAAAAAGTATCACCCTGACACCAACAAAGAAGACCCAGAAGCCAAGGAGAAGTTTGCTAAGCTGGCTGAAGCTTACGAGGTTTAGAACTTTTGTTCAAATGTTCCCTCGGCACTTGTAAATGTTTCTTCAAAATCTCTGATCAGTCTCTTTATAACGTATTCGAATTACACCTCCTAAACCGTACTCCATGTTTGATATAGATCCTGAGTGATGAAGGGAAGAGGAAACAGTACGATACGTACGGCTCTACGGGCTTTGATGCTGGTCAGGCCGGTGCAGGAGGGCAGCACTACTGGTCGGGACAGGAAAGCAACGTGGACCCCGAGGAGCTCTTCCGCAAGATCTTTGGGGAATTCTCAGGAGGCCGAGGCTTTGGAGACTTCAACGCCATATTTGAACAGCCACAGGAGGTTAGTGGGAGACTGTGGGAGTGAAAGGAAGGCCTCTGTTACCTTGATTTCTATTTTTGGTTCTTTGTTACATTTGATTGGTGCATCTTCCAAAATTGTCATTAATAATAATAATAATAATAATAAAGCTTTATTTATATATCACTTTTCATACAACACATGCAGCTCAAAGTGCTTTACAAAATGACACATCACATGTTAAAAACAAACAAGACATTTCCCTCAGATTATTTTCTAAGAACTTTACATGCGGGAAAATATAACATTTTATCAGGTTTATCAAGGAGATAAAATGTATGATAACACAAATAAAATAAAATAAATAATGGTTTCTCTCTGACGGATAAGACACAAGACAACTGAATCGATGCAACAATATCAAATATGAACATATAGGTACAACAGAAATAAAAATAAAATGGTAATAAAAATGCCATAATTCTAATAAAGTTTAAACGATTAAGAAATAACAAAGACCAACGTAAAAATAAATATTGCTATTGAAGCATGTTAGATTAATAAAATAAGATAAAATCCTTTAAGACCTATAAAATATATCAAATTGTTTTGATTTTTTCTCCACAGTACTTTATGGAGCTGACGTTCACTCAGGCGGCAAAGGGAGTGAACAAAGAGTTTTCTGTTAACATAGAAGCAGCCTGCCAGCGCTGTGACGGTAAGGGCCACGAGCCAGGCACCAAAGTCCAGCACTGCAACCACTGCAACGGCTCCGGCATGGTAAGAGCTCCGACACTCTCCCTTTCCTCAGGGTTTGTTTGTGTTGTTTTACTAAACACGTGTATTGTCCGCCCTGCAGGAGACCGTGAACACAGGTCCGTTCGTGATGCGCTCCACATGTCGTCGTTGTGGAGGCAAAGGCACGGTCATCTCCACCCCGTGTAATACCTGTCGTGGGGTGGGACAGACCAAGCAGAAGAAGACTGTGACGGTTCCTGTGCCTGCAGGTCCGTTTTTCACACTGTAAATACCAGCTTCACTGCTGAACATAATTCATGATTTGAATGCCTATCATACTTATTTCTGGCATGCTTTTAAAATTCACAATAACTCAAAATGAGTTTCATGTCGGCAGAATTGGAAGATGTATATAATTCCTATAGGGCTTCATACTCAAAAGATAGATTCCTACGAATAACTTGTATCCAATCTAACTGTGTTTTGTTTTGGCTTCAAGGAGTGGAGGATGGTCAGACAGTCAGAATGCCAGTTGGTAAGAAGGAGATCTTCATCACATTTAGAGTGAGTATATATCTGCATCATCTTTTCAAACACACAGCATTCATAGTAGTCTTCCTTCTCCGGCTTCTTTAAGGCAAGCGAGCTAGACGGTGAACAAAGAGAGAGCAGCGTTAGTGAGAACAAAGCAGTGAAACTAATAATAAAGAAAAAGTGTTATTTTCATTGTGGTTACATTTTAAATCACACATGTACACACCCATACCTCTGCGGTACAGTGCCTCACCACCATATTTAAAATTATATATGCAGACACCACCACAAACTTAAAGTGGGTTGAGAGGATCTTTGACTGAATCTGCACATTGCTTTTTTAGGAAATGCTGCATATCACACCTGCAATATCAGTATTGATCCCAGAGCAAACAAACCTAGATCAGAAGTAAATCCACTCTTAATCCAAGTGGTCATCAGAGCTGCTATAATGGTGTTTTGTATAATGTACCGGAGGTGTGTGGGTTTAGTACGAGGCATTGAGCTGTCTGAGCTCTTTGAATTAGAATAAGCTCGGTTCAGACAACCTGTGGTGTACTGCTTCCTGAGATTGTGATGACTTGATACCCCGTGTGATTGGCTGTGATGTGTTCTGGGTTGGTTTTTAGGTCCAGAAAAGTCCAGTGTTCAGGAGGGACGGTGCAGACGTCCACTCGGACCTTCTTATCTCCGTGGCTCAAGCTATCCTGGGCGGCACAGCCAGGGCACAGGGCCTTTATGAAACACTAAACTTATCAGTAAGTAGACACGTTCTCCTCCAATCAGAATATGTTTTTAAACGCATGCAGTGTGACATTTTTTTAATTATATTTTCTTGTCTTCAGATCCCTGCGGGCATCCAGGCAGACCAGAGGATTCGTCATTCAGGGAAGGGGATCGCTCGAATCGGTGGTTATGGCTACGGAGACCATTATGTCCATGTCAAAATAAAAGTACCCAAGTAAGACTCCTCATAGTTCATCTGTCTCATCCAGTAACATGTCTACTACTGCATTTATACAAGATGGGGACATGAGAGGTCCTTGTAATTGAAAACAATGACTTGCTGTAGTCTTGAAGAAAGGGGATAAGAACTGTTTCCCTATTCAGAGATCCATAACCAATTGTTTTCCTGTGTAGGACGCTGACTGACCGACAAAGAACTCTGCTAACAAGCTACGCTGAAGACGAGACGGAAGTAGAAGGGACGGTGAATGGAGTCACTAACACCACCACAGGTTAGAGCAGTGGTTCTCAAACTTTTTACAATAAAACACCCCCTGATTAGCACAGAAACTATTTGGTAGGGGAAAAAAGCCTTTCAAAATGACCCCCCTCTGTTAAAAACAGAAATGTTGAATATAAAAAATATTTTTTACCGAACTTAAATTGACATTTTTAATTACATTTATTATAGTATCATTATTTTAGGAATTATGCACGACTGATGGTTTTTTTAATAAAAAATCTCACGTACCCCCTGCAGTACTCCAACGTACCCCTAGGGGTCCGCGTACCCCCATTTGAGAACCCCTGGGTTAGAGGACCACCAAACTCACTCTTACAATACAAAGGGAGTTTGTTGGAATGACCACATTTTAAACATAGTATAGAGCAGTGGTTCTCAACTGGTCAGGCCTCGGGACCTACTTTTTACTTGGTCAATACATCGCGACCCAACATTTTGAAGCACTCAAATCTATTCAACAAAAAATCGTGCTGTGATATATACGCTTTTCAGCATACAATATTAATAAAAGTGAAGTACAGTGCATATATCGCTTATATCCCTTCACAGAACTAAAGTATGCTTTTAAAAAAGGTTTAATGAGATGATGGAATCAAAGCTGAACTATATAAAAAGGCACGCATGCTGAAAACCCAACCCCAGCAGGGGGGTCTGTGGGATTCTCCCCCAGGAGATTTTTAGAAATACTAACATAAACTATTTATTCTGGTACACTGTGAGAAGAAAATAAATAAATCTATTACTAGCTACCCGACATATTAATAATATGTTATGCCATTGTTTGTTTTTCACTTTGTTCTGACATCTTGCTGCGAGAAGAGTAAAGAGGAGATAGTCTGTGTGACTTACTTTAAATTGTGGGTAAGGGTAGATAGCTCCCATTGTTCTGTGACCTGTCAATCATCAGACCGGGGGTCATATTTCATTATGTGTTGATTTCTATCTGAAGTTGTAACCATGGATGTATAAAGAAGAGTTATACCGCAAAGTTATTCTCCGTGGGGACTTCCGGCCACAATCTTGATTCTGATTGGCCAGAAAACTCGAAAAAACATCAGCTAAATACTACCAGCTAAGATATTTTATTGAGAAGATGATCACTATGTGAAAGAACTTTTCAAAACCGTTTATGGTCTCCGGTATTTCCAGTCCAACGCCGCCTGCATGCACAGCGTTAGAAAATCGGGCCTTCAAAATAAAAGTTTGACTTTTTCACTCACACATCCGCGACCCACTCGAAACGGCTCGCGACCCACTTTTGGGTCGCGACCCACCAGTTGAGAACCACTGGTATAGAGTGCCACAGTGACGCATCCTAAAACCCGGAAGTAAACTCCTTCCGGTTCCTTCGACAAAAAAGCAATGGGATTTCTCCATAGGATTTTGGAAAATAGCTGGAAATAAGGTCTGTGGTTGACACACATTTAAGAGACGGATCATGTTTTGTTCAGCCAGATAATATCCACATGTCTACACTACTTTTATAATTTTCGATTCATAAATCTAGTCGCCAGAAGCAAAATGCTAACGTTATGCTATAAACTAACTACAGCAACTACGTGCTTCAACGTCACGCCAACTTAAGATCCATATTCAAACATACAGATTCTAAATGGTACAAGTTGAAGCGTTTGTTTGAACAGGAGGCAGGAACTTGCTTTCAAGCAGAACACCGGGGAAAACAAACTTAGCGGGAATGTTCACGTATTTGGTGTCATGACGTACAACGGCCTCGACAACTTCTGTAGTCCTATTCAGCCACATGTTAACAACCATCGTTTTTCAGACACGTAAACTTCAAAAATCACCAGCGTCATCAATTTGTGTCAAACACAGACCTTATTTCCAGCTATTTTCCAAATTCCTATGGAGAAATTACATTGCTTTTTGGTGAAGGTCAAATGCTAACTTACTTCCGGGTTTTAGGACGCGTCACTGTGGCACTCTATTGCCAAAGCATTCCCACACAAGGCGTTATAAGGGAACAAAAACAAAGAAACACTAAACATAAAGTGGCATCACAGAAAAACCCAACTCATAAACTCTTACCCTATCGCTATTAAGGAAGTTGTATTTAGTGTTAATCTCTGTCCAGGTGGGGGCAGCAGTGATAAGCGGTCTGAGACAGGGCAAAGCGGGCGTAACGAGAAGGAAGGAGAGTTGAAAGAAGAGGGGGGCTTCTTCTCCACATTAAAGAAATTGTTTAGTGCCTCCTGACAGCCACAAACCAGGTAGGACTAGTATTGATTAATCCCAAGTTGTTTTTGTTCAGTTCTGCACAAAAAGTGAGTTATGAAACACTTGCTGCAGCTTCTCTGGATAACCTTTCATTCTCTGGTTTGTGGCTGTCGCATAAAAACTGTGAATCCAGGCTGATGGCTTAGAAGTATTTTTTGATTTGTTATTTCTCAAACTGGGGCTGCTTTACCGGCTCATTTTTAAAAAGCTCCATTTACTAAGAGTTAATTTAACAATCTTTTTTCCCTACTTTAAGGAAAAAGGTCATCCTATAACTGAGAAGCTTCATCAGTCCATCAAAGGACAGAAGAGCGGACTTCATAAAGCCAACACAGCTCATATTAAAGGAACGGGTGTTTGAGGACTAGTGGGTGTTGGATAAGTCCTGAAAAGGTTTTGGACAGATCAGTAAAAACCTACATACCCAGACCCTGCAAAAGACGGAGCATCACCTGCTGAATCCACATACAAGAGGAGGTTCCAATGTGCCATTTATCCATTAGGACAAGTGTCCGTCGTGGTCATTTGGGCGGCAAAGACTTCTTTAAAATAGCCTTGTTGGTTTTCTGTTGATCCACATTAAAAGACATTATAGTGATAACAGAATTCAGGTGCACATAAATTAAGTGGTGTATTGACAAAGATTTAATCAAAAGTTTTCATTTGGAATTAAATCGACCCCGTTATTTGTTCGTTATGCCTTGGTTATTGTTTCATTAATGCTCCAATTCCCTCCACAATTCACAACACTATGCTAGCAAGTTGAACGTCAGTCATGTTCTCATGGTTTACCTATAAGTTGAAGTGTTTGAGAAAAGGTGTGTCTGCAATGGAAGTAGAAGTTTGGCTCCTGAACTATGAAAACCAAACTGTCCCACCTTTAACCCTTTGAATTATGTCATTTGTACATATAGTTGTGTAACCTACAATGTGTCGCATACAAGAGAAATGCTGTACATTATAATAAAGCTATGGTCTGGGAAAAGCTTGTTTTATATAAATCACCACCACAGAACATTTGTTTGAATCAATCAATATATTTCTTTGATACATATTTTGTTCAACCATTAAGATATAATGCAGTAAAAACCACTTAACTGTCCCTAAGTGAGTCCAAAGCTAACAGAGGTAGATCATATTGAATTGTTAGTGTATCTAGTAAACGTACCTGCATTTTCACTTTTAAATACAAATATTATTTTATAGCAATATGATCATTACCTCAAATGAAAAGGACACCTTTTTATATTGGATTTAAATGTGTTTCTATTAATGAAAATTGTTATTTCAATTCAACAGTTCCTCTGAGAAAAGTAGTCTTTTCAATAGCTTCCATGGCATTTAAGCTAATGACTGCAAATGCAGAATTGTATATCTACATTGGAACAGTAGGACTTGCATCTATTTTTTTTTTTCTGGAGTAACTGGGTCTCATGACATGAAAGCTTTTGAAACATTACATTGCATTTAGCTGATGCTTTTATCCAAAGCGACTTACAATAAGTACATTCCACCAAGAAGATACAAACTTGAAGAAAACAGAATCATATAACTACATCAGGTTTCAGAGCTAAAACATTTCAAGTGCTACTCAACTAACTTTAGATAAGCCAGTCCTTTATTAGTATATAAGTGCTTTGTTACTAATGTTATCGCTCAAAGTGGAGTCGAAAGAGATGAGTTTTTAGTCTGCACCGGAAGATGTGTAAGCTTTCTGCTGAAACATGTTTTAATTCATTCATGAAGCATCACTAATCATAAAAAGGTGTGCTACGTTCGACGCCTTCATTAGAATAGATTTTTGCATCAATTTAAATAATTGAGACACATTAGCACAAAGCAATTGAAAATAACACTGACTAACACTTTGTGTCATTCAGAGTTTAATTTATTGATGGTCCCTTACAGGAAACCTGGTATTAACTCAGATGCAGGGTTTCCGTTAGCCGGTAATTACCGGTTATTAGCTGGTAAAATGTATTAAAAACCGGTAAATTCAAAACCTGCCGGTCAAAATGTCTGGTAATAATTAGGAAGGCTCCGATAGATCGGCCACCGGTCATTATCGGCCGATATTCACTCTTAATAGTTTGATCGGTGCTCTATATAAAGAACGATCAGGAGAGCTGGATCTGATCGATATGGACATAAACGCGAGTGAAGTATAACCGGACACGCGAGAGAGAGATCAGATCAGCTGCTGAGTCAGACCGAGACACGCAGCTCTGCATAATCACCTGAAGCCCCGCCCTCTGTTTAGCGAGCTGCAGGAGCTGCATGAGAAACTGACGGGCTGTCAGAGAGAGAGGGAGGGAGAGAGAGAGGGAAAAGAGAGGATCCGTTTCTCCCGTGTTATTATTCAAAGTTAATGTAAACTTTTGAATAATGTACGTTATCTAGGTTACTACAAGTAGTTTGTTTGAATGTAATAATTATGTTGTTTGTTGTTTGTGGAATCATTTATTGAAAAATGGATCTGAATTTTTCGATCTGTTACGATTATAGACTGAAGCAATATAAAAATGAGCCCCGTGAACTGAGTTTTAAACTGAAGCATATCTGCTCATAGTCCGGTAATTACCTGCTAACGGAAACTCTGCTACACAACTCTTACTATTATTATTGAAATATGACCGGTAAGTTTCAAATTTGTCCGGTAAAATAAATTCTGCCCGGACATTTGACCGGCGAGAAAAAATCCTAGCGGAAACCCTGCTCAGATGTGAGCTAACCGTCAGTTAACCTTCTCCGACTGTTGACAGTGTGTCTGTAACTGAGTGACAAGACGCTGCTGGATCACATGTGAATGTCTGTCGAATATCCAACATAAAATGTAAATCACAAAGTATCTATCCAGTTTTTGGATAGATACTTTTAGATGGATATTTGTACCTGATGATGGTGCTACATAATCATTAAGACGTGTATTGTTATTATAAAAAACAAGTACTTTTAATAAATAAACCAGTCCAAATGGATCACCTTTATTTCAGCTTGAGCAGGAAAACAGAATGTATTTCATTCAACAGCCATGGGGTGTCAAACACTATAAAGCGTTTAGATACACAAAGTGATTAGGAGCAGAGTTATTGAAATACAAGAGAAATCTAAATCAACATGAATTAGTCAAGCATCCCATCTTCTATATCTAAGGTTTAACAATGACCAAAACAACTGTACTTCTGAGATTCAAGTAAGCCTTCCCTAAGTTCGTCCAAAAATACTGAAGCATTTTGACACTGGCTAAAATAAAATAAAACATGGACAATGAACTACAGGAGCATAACAGTCCAAAGGAAAGGCATTGTATTTCCATCTGACTACAACATGAACCTGAGACGCTCAGATAAAAAACACATTATCACTTGGGATACATGCCAGGTCAAATCTGAATACTGTACATCATGTGCAAAACACACACCACACCAACCTGGTAGACATTTTGTTTTAAGCAGGTTTCCGTTGACACTGTGCGTCAAATATTTTTAAACTACGATAAGAAGAAACAGCTTGGAAGATGATGCCAAGTTAATAAAATGTCATTAATGTGTCACGATAAATATACAACTTCAATTGCAGAACAGTGTAATAACACTGCATACAGTACACGAAGCACAATATGTTCCTCCTTATCCATGTTGCAATGAGCATTACTTGGAATGGTGTTCCAAAAAATAGGAGTACAAACAAAATGTGACTTTGTTTTAGTGATGATGCACACTGGTGTATCCATAACAAGTGGATGCTTACACAAGAGGTGAGCTGCTGAAGGACCTAACCTGCATAATAAACCTCTTTAGACTTAACCATTATCATAGTCACCTTTCCTATGATATAAGCTTCTGTGGCAGAAAACTGAATCATCGATTAATACTTCATCCTGGACAGTTAAGCGATGCATTCAAACCAACATCAGGCAGTTTTTGTTTATAAATACAAGATGATTTGAACATGCATTAGTAGAGTCCATTTTCAGGTGTATTCACTCGTATCCATCATAAGCTTGTCAAAGTTGTGCTATTTTTTTAAGAATTAGGTACACTTGTAGAAATGTTTTAGAAACATTGGAGGCCATTTTTGGATAATTAGATGAATTAAAAAGAAAGAATATGCACTGCGTTTTACATTATCTTTGGAACTTCCATTCATGTCAGGAAGTACAATTTGAGATCTTTTATTGCACCAACACAAAGATTTCATTCAAAACCACCACAGCAGTCTGCCCAGCAAGAACACGCTGAGCCATTAAACTCATTCATAACATGTGCATAGTATGTTGAAACATGTTTCAGTTTCATTTAAAATTGGGGCGAAATCTATACTAGTGAGCTTCCACGACAAAAGGAGAAAACAGCTTCAGAATATCTTCAGATAGGACTAAACTCACTGGAAGGACAAAGGTTGGAGGGACAGTTCAGAGGAGGTAGCACATTTAAAAGAATAGAGGATACATTTTAACAAGTTGTAGCTTGATGGATGGATGGAGATGACATATTTATGGTCATTATATCAGAATTCCAAGGAACAGATCCAAGTTTAATTCCTTTAAGTAACATTAAATAAGCCTGGACCCGTTCAGAATGTTTGTAAGAAACTAGGAAATGGTCTACAACCTGAGGGACTTTTGTATTCCCCTTACTGTCCTCCCTTTTTTCTCGTTGTTCTCCCAGCAGCACGGTGACGGCAGCATCACATCAGATACCAGGCAGCAAATCCCGCAAGAGCAGCAGCAAGAGCAGCGCAGAGGACCTGTCCCGTCGGGTGTCGCAGTACGGCCATGGCGAGCTGACAGGCGTATTCTGATCCGCCCGCCGCCGCTGTGACACAGAGAACAAGCTTAGCTCACCAAAACTTTTTTAAAGGTTTTTCATGGAAAGAATTCTGCAAAGAGAAATGTAAAAGCATACCCATTTTGGCAGAATAGTAGGGACATTTGCTGATGTCTCCGCCCATTGCTCCGTGGACGGGCATGCCAGCATCTAAAACATCCTCCTGGATGGTTTTACCAATCTCTTCCAACTCATCGAACACCTGCCAGCACAAACATAAAGTGTGTTAAGCTTGTTGAACACTCAATAATCAAGAAATTGTTCATGAATAAAAAAAATAGCAGACAGCCTGTGAATTAACACCTGAACAAATCAAAGAATCATCATTAACCACACACTGAGGAAATTCAATACTGCAATAGTTTAAAGCAGTGGTTCTCAAAGTGGGGGGCGTGCCACTTTGGCATAGAGGCGAGAGACCAGGAGGAAAAATGGTTATAACATTTTTTTTTTATTTAAAAAGATCATAATTTCAAAAATTATTGATTCGAAAATAATATGATGCAGTACAGTACTATTACGTCTGGGTCTCTGTTTCATTAAAGCTCGACTCTGTGTGTGTGCGGAACGAGCCATTTTGTGTGCGCGAGCGAGAGAGAGAGCGCACCGGTACCGGAGATCGTTGTTGTTAGCTTCTGGTGCTAGCGAGCTACGCTAACAGATATAAGGGGTTTTTTCAACAACAAGGTGGAGGAGAGTCCTCTCCTGTCAGACTGAGAGACTCAGTGAGCTAAAGGACTCTCTCAGTGTTATCTCAGTGGGTCTCAAATGTTTTGGTCACCATTAATGTAAAACAATTATTTCCGAGGCACATGTTTATATGATCATTATAGTTATACAAAAATAAGAGAATAAATGAAAAACAGGTATGAAATACTATATGACAGTAAAAAAAGAATAAAGTTTAAAAGGGTGATTTGTAAAATATCCATAAAGAAAAAGTAAATCTGTTAACAGGTCTGTTTCATATGGGTGTTGAGAGATGTATCCATAGATCTCTTCATTTTGCTCTCAAAGTGCACCAGATTGATGCTTTTAACTTCAATATTTAAAAATAAATCTTCCCGGGGGAGCATGCCCCCGGACCCCCCTATGTGAGGTTCACACACCACCTGTAAAAATAGCACTTTACCCCTGCTTACACCTATATGCCGTGAGCTGATTATAGAGCCTTCATTGTAACAGTCACGGGTACACTGTGTATTTGCCTGGGAATTGTTGCAGTAGAAAATTCCACTGTAGCGCCCGGTACATTAATGGGAAACCCTAAATGTTTGAGCACCCTCTATGAAACGTCAAGCTACCCCACAGCACCCCCAAAAGAAATCTCTGGCGCCGCCACTGAGCCTGACTATTTGTGTTGGGGGGGCCCGACTTTTCTTTTTTTTTTCAAAGGGGGGGCCTGACAGAAAAAGTTTGAGAACCACTGGTTTAAAGTAAGAAATTGCCAACAAAAGCCAATTACACCGTGAGCTCAATAAAGTACAATATATAGATTCTTTGGACAACAATACAATAGTTGTTGTTATCGCAGGCTGCCATACAGTTTGTCCTTCATTTGATATGATTATATAACATCCTTATGCTTATTTAACACAATTAGTTACATTTATATCCATTTAGAAACAATTGAAGGGAAAATACCACCCACTAGTGTTTCCAGACATATCCAACATTTCTTATTTTCTCTATCTCTCCAACCACCATTCCTTGTCCCTGGCCTCTCACCTCCATGTTGAACTGGAAGGCCTTGACAGCCTCGGCCACCAGCCTCTTCTTTGTATCCTCGTCCAGAACCAGCACGTTCATCCGACTACGGTACAGCTGCTTGAATTCTTTGGCACTATGGATGCCATCAAACGTATAGAATTCCAGGCCCTCCCCTGTGGGCGGCAGCTTCATGGCTCTCTGCGCCACCTTCTTCAGCACCTGGCCCCCTGACAGGTCACCCATATAGCGGGTGTAAGCGTGGGACACCAGCAGCACGGGGTCCTCCTGCCCTACTTCATGAATACGGTCCACATAGCGCTGGGCGGCCGGGGAGCAGCTGACCTCGCTCTGCCAGTCAGGCCCGTAAAAGTACTCAAGGTCACGGGCCAGGGCCTCGCGGCGATGCAGCTCTGTAGGGAAATATAGGGGGGCAAAGTGGGGGTGGTCCTTGTTCCTTTCAATCTCCTCCTCCATGGCGGTATAGGTGTAGTAGAGAGCAACGGCACCAAGCTAGGGAAGCAAGAACAAAAGCAATAGTACTTACAGTTTTCGATTTATTTTTATTTCTGATTTTCTTTTTTCTGACCTTGAAAAGCTCTTTGCGGATGCGACCCTTGAGGAAGTCTTTCACAAACTGTGTGTTTTCGGCCTTCTCGTGAACCTCCTTGGTCCCTGCTGCCAGCAGCTCGGACAGATCCTCAGGACTTGGGGGGGAATTTTTTTTGTATTTTAGCATTTGACAGGATCACAACAACAAACATGGCTATTTTGTAATCATATTTCACTCTTTCAAAAAGGTAATTGTGTTAGAACATTAGTGGGAGACTAACCTGAGGGTGTCTTTTCCTTCATTTACAGGCCCTGCTCCATTTGCACTAGCTGTTGTCGCCATCTTGTCTGCTGACATCAGCAGTGTTCCTGTCTGCCAGTTAGTTCACCCTAGAATCAGTAAAAGATATCAAATCAACATCATATTTACAATCAAACTATATGGCATCAGTCATATATAAGTTTAATCACAAATAAACCTTGACAAATATATTTGTAGTATATTGGTACAGTTGTGGGAAGGGCATATACAATATTAAATTGTGGTTAATGTAACTGCTGTCGTAATGACACTTGGGTGAAGATTGCACAACCGTTTTTGGATAAACAAGGAAACAATATCAGGCTGAGGGATCTGAGGGATTGTGTACCAAAACAATAACAACACACTGGAGCAACATTTACAGTGCATTGATAATAATTTGTAAAAACAACATAATGATGACGAACACTATCACAGTTTACTGCCTTTCAATATAAAATAAAAACAATTTGAGATGAATAAAGTCTAATCATCAGGTCCAAAATCAAATGAAGGCTTTCATTTCAGATTCAGCAATGTTTATTCAACAACAATATGTATTAATCTCTTACCCTCAAAGCAGTAGAGGTCTAATAAGAAACAGGGGGGCTAACCGTTTCACTGCAGCTATTGTTCCTGAGATGATGGTCAAATAAAAGCTTCTTCTGCCAGTTAACTTAATTTAGCTGCATCCACCTCATTTACTCAAGGCAATATGCAACTGAAAGGTGATAGGAAATGCTTAAAAACAACACCAGGGCGTCAACTACGTGAACAAACAGACAGCCATAAATCAGCCCATCCACTAAAACGCAGCACAGGCCTCCTGGCGTTTAACTCACAAATGCAGCTGGTGTTGTGATACACGAGTTAATGAAGTGATTTAAAACATTTCAGTGTCTCAATGTGATCAGAAATCATTATCTAAAGCCATCTTTCATCGAGATACGCAACACATGCTATGTTTGGTACTCCTGGCGGTAACGTCATCTAACTTGCTCGGAGCATCATTTTGACAACAACAGCTAACTTTGCTGGAGGACGCTAGCTAACTTTGCTAACAGCTAGCTAGCATTTCAACTAGCCTAACAAACTTGAGATTTTTTTGACGAGCGGCGTTACATTCCAATGCAGTCTCGACACGTTTAGTCACAGATGAAATTATATATTAACGAGTTACATTGCTTTGGTAATATAATATTGACGTTACAAACCTTCACCCCACTACAGTGCAGAGCAGTCCGGTTAAGTACAAATCAAGCTTGGACCCAGGACGCCACGGAACTGCACGTCCACTCATCTGTGTTCACTGTAAGCCCCGCCCCCTTCCGGCTGCTGTCAGATGCTTCTCTGCTGCAGGAAATGCTGAGGACAGCTATTTCTTCTGCCTATACCACTAGGATACAATGCAGACATAAACATTAACACATACAAAATAAACTACTCAGCAAAAACCGGTATTTATCTGCGTTTTAAAAGTCCAAATTTGAAAGAGTTTCAAAAAGAAGAAGCTACAACTTCAAAAGTCTCCTTTTTCTAATGTCTGCTATCAGTAACAACCATGGATAATGCAATTATAATATCAGGAGCACACAACGTACCTACCAGGACATCATGTGTTTCTGTGAAGCGACAAAGAGACTCAGAACTATGAAAGGGCAAAAATAATCACAATGAGAGTCGAAAAGACAACAAAGAGACACACTCACAATGACTATAGGCAAAACAACCACAAAGAAACACAAACAAAAACAATAAATACACTAACAATTACAATGAAAATACTTTGACATCTTCTTTTGTTTGTTTGTTTGGTTTGTGAAGCACTCTGTGTTATCTTTTGTGTATGAAAAGTGAGGTCTAAATAAAGTTTGATTTAAATTGAAACAATGAAAATAGGACAAACAAACACAAAGAGATAGACAACAACAACAAAAGGAGACTTGACCACTATGTCTGTTTGTCTTGCTGCTATGTAGCAGAGGTGGTGGTGGCTTTTAGGAGGCATGATCCTGATCATGCCAGGTTCTTAACATGATAACAATAATCTTTAACCGGATCCTAAATTGGATGGGAAGCCAATGTAGACATTCAAATGGTGGTCACATGAGACCTTGGTAAACAGCTGCAGCAACCTTTTGGCGATTTAGGGAAGTACTGCTAAGGCAGGGGAAGTGAAAATTGTTATAGAAAATAAAAGCATAGTTAATATCTTCTAAATCTCATTGGGCTTGAGTTTAATGTAACAATTTTCATGTGTCAAACATAAGTGCTTCATGTTGTTGAGAGCCATTCATTGGTCCATCCTAAAACAACCTTCAGCTGTTTATAAAATCAACACAATCAATGAGTACAAAGTGTGCTAGTTTACATGTAGTTTTTTTGCATTAGTTTGCTGGTTTATTACTGGTAACATTGCATAAGATGTAATACATTACAAGAAGTGAAAACAAATCTAAATCATCCCCAAAACCCCAATGAAACATCAGCCGACGAGAAGAGAATAACCACAAGATGACATTCGCACCAAGCAAATACAGAACATGGTTTGTCAAGTTGCAGTTTCACAAACAGTATTTAATATTCAGAACAAATAGCACAATATTGTTTTTTGGCTTACCTTAGTTGTAATGTATGTAATGTTTCATATTAAAAGCAAACAAATTATACCATGTGTTTGATTTTGGCCTATATTATGCAATAGCTCTTTCTTTTAATAAAACAAATGAATCATTCTTGAAAAGGACATTAGAAATTGAATATTCCTAATTCCAATCAAATTACCCCTTGGCAACACTCTTTGTTGCTCTCCAAGGCTTCACCAAAATGATCACAAAGCTGTAGTTCTTACATAACCACACACCAATGTTATAATAACAATTATCTCCACTATGCTGTTCGGTTTAATCTGCTCATTCGTTTTTATTTATGGAGTGTCAGTGTAAAGGGAGCCTTTGTGAGTCTCTCAAATGTTGTTGTTGTCCACAGGAATACCCAGAGGTGTGGACTCGAGTCACATGACTTGGACTCGAGTCAGACTCGAGTCACACATTTTATGACTTGAGACTCGACTTGACAACATCACAAAAGACTTGCGACTCGACTTGGACTTGAACACCAATGACTCGGGACTTGACTTGGACTTGAGCCTTCTGACTTGAGGTGACTTGCTACTTTAATTCAGAGGTCTCCAACACGCCGATCGCGAGCTGCCGTTAGAAGAGCAGACTCCCGTCGGGGAAAGCATAATCTTCAGCCGCTCCTACTCTTGCTGAGAATCCTTGCAGGCAGGGGCGGGTCTTTATTTAGCTGGGCCACCATGCGGCCAATCATATGCGAGGACACACTAGGATCATACCATTATGTGAAAGAAGGGTGGGGGCACAGCATGTGCAGAGCGACGGGGAGACGGGGAGCCGGGGAGCCGGATTTAAATGCAAGCGCGTCGGAAAAAGTCAAGAAATGAGCGAAAACCGAAAAAAGAAGCAGCATCTGGCTGCTTTTCAATGATATTGGAGAAAGCAAAGCTGAGTGCAGGATTTGTAAAATGAAAATAACCTTCAGAGCAGGGTAAACACTCAGGATTTATTGTCAGAGGTGGGAGAAGTTCAGACAATTAAAAAAAGTTACAATGAAGTCTTAAATTTGATAATCAGAATTTAAGGCCTTAAAAAGGTCTTAAATATGATTCAGAAGGTCTTAAAAATTATCGGATTTGAAATGTACTTCTGTGTTGCGATAGCGTCTAAATGTGTTTTGGGGGGAAATGTCCGGGCTGCAAAGTAACCAGTACGGTAATAGCCTTTCAGTTCCCCCCAACAATTTGTATTGAATTAAATCAACATGGAACCAGTAATCACTAACTTTGTTTCCCCCGGCCACTTATTGGAGAACACCCAGCTAGTAACCTAGCAACCAAGCTTCAGCTCATGTAGCCTATCTTCGAATCTACTTACAAATAAATATGGGGAAGTGTAAGTTCAACCGTATTTGGTTGGAAAACGTCTAATTTAGTGCTTGGTTGAAACCAGTGGAGGGAACGTGTTTGAAGCCCGCTGCACCTTTTGCAAAATAAATTAGTGTTTGTTTTGCTAATGTAGCGTTAGCTAGTGGAGCGTTAGCTAGTGCAGCAGCAGCTAATGTAGCGTTAGCTAGTGCAGCGTTAGCTAGTGCAGCAGCAACTAGTGCAGCGTTAGCTAGTGCAGCAGCAGCTAGTGCAGCGTTAGCTAGTGGAGTGTTAGCTAGTGCAGCAGCTCCCGCAACAACACCGGGGGACCTCCGGGCGAAGTTTGGGTCTACGTCAACCCTAAAAGCGGAGGTGCTGTAGACGCTAAATACCGTAGCTAAACACCAATCATACAACAGCAACAATGAAATAGTGTAGCCAAGGCAGCAGAGCTCTGAATATAGCTCTTGTCACTCTCTCTCAGAGACACACACACACACACACACACACACACACACACACACACACACACACACACACACACACACACACACACACACACACACACACACTAGGGCTGCTCGATTATGGCAATAATCAAGATTATGTTGGTCAATAATTAATATCACGATTATTAAATATGATTATTCATTGACTTTGAAAACATCCATTTATTGAACTTTAAAACAGATAATAATTTGAACAGTATCTTTTTAACTGTTGAATACCCTGAACGTATAATTCAACTGAAAAACCAATACAAAAATTAATTAAATAAATGATACATTACTAAAAAATGCATTAGATCAAATATGTTGTAGTGCACCGTCACAACCTAGCAAAGCAAAATAATCGTTTTTTCCGATTATGTTGTTTTCGTAATTGTGGCAGGCCAAAATCGTAATTGAGATTAAAATATGATTAATTGCACAGCCCTAACACACACACACACACACACACAGACAGACGCACACACATACACACACTTTTTGTCTAACACGCTAACACAGTTCTGTACTGTTACGCTGTTGTGTTCAGTCATTGTTCTTATGTTGAACATGAATACATTTACTTTGTAAGTGATTATGGGACGTATTTCTTCTTTATATACATTTTCCTTCATACTTTATTGCCGTGAAATAGGTCTTAAATTCTATTCAAAGTGGTCTTAAAAAGGTGTTAAAAAGTCTTAAATTTGAGTTGGCGAAACCTGCAGGAACCCTGTACAATAAAAAGTCCTGCATTCAAAATGTTACAAGTAAAAATACAAAAGTATTAGCATCAAAATATAGTTAAAGTACCACCTGCAGAGGGATCAAGATGCAGGTGTTCTCTTCCCCATAGAGACGCCTCGCTGCACATTATCCCTTGCATAAAGATAGATTGTGGGTCCCTTACAACATGTTGTACACAATGGAAATAAACATTCTGGTTACCTCAACATCAGGGATCTTATACATTAAACTCCTTCTGAATCAAACCGTCACGGTAGCCTTACCTTACTGATCCCTCTTAAATTAGAAAAACACACGTTACTTTACCAGCAGAGAGAAAATGGATTATTAAATTATTAATGTGACTAATAAAGAGCAGTTTGATTATTAAGTATTATTCTGTTGATCGATGTCATTACATTTGGTGAAAAACACATAATGACTTGTTTATGACTCGTTTTGTCAAAGTTTAGGACTTGGACTTGAACTTGCCCATCCTGACTTGAGACTTGACTTGGACTTGCAAAACAATGACTTGAGACTTGACTCGGACTTGAGCGCAAAGACTTGAGTCTTGACTCGGACTTGCAAACCAATGACTTGGTCCCACCTCTGGGAATACCTGAGAACAACATCAACATATTTGAAGCTGAAACAGACTGACTCTCCTTGTTTTGAACACTTCAGTAGATAGCTGTTTGACATAACAACGCATTTTGTTATTTGGTATAATTATTGCTTTACAAATTAAAATGTATACGTCGGCAGAATCAAAGACCAAGAAAAATAAAATATAAAGCTATGTTAAAATCAAAAAACAATAACAAAAGGGTTTGCCTTATAGATTAACAACCATTCTCACTTCCAAATGCCTGTTGTTGGCTCAAACACATCTAAAGACCTAAAGAAACAAATACATTGTAGATGTGACATGTGGGCAGGTGAAAGGGGCAGAATTGGGCATGTAATAAACTTGACACAGTACTGTGAACACAGAATGTGCTGAGTAATTACAATGAGTGCTCCCCGATCAACAGGTGGTCATCCTGTCCCTGCCCTTAAAAAAACAACTATGAGCCTTCAGTCTTTGTCCGGGTTGCCTGGCTCTTGGGGACAAACAAAACAAGCTTACTGTATTTTATCTCGTTTACATCATGCTGTTTGAGTGTTCTGCCAATTACAGATCATAGTAATCATAGTTTTTCAGGTATTTTTGTGTTCAAATAATTCACGCATGCTGTTAATGAATTATGTATGAGGTAGTTTGTTTGCTGAGCAGATTTGTCCATCGGCTAATGATTGTGTGCAGCTTCTATTTAAATACCTGTGTGTGTGTGTGTGTGTGTGTGTGTGTGTGTGTGTGTGTGTGTGTGTGTGTGTGTGTGTGTGTGTGTGTGTGTGTGTGTGTGTGTGTGTGTAGTGGATGTGTGTATCACTCTCAGAGCCGGATATTTATCTGGCAGCCGGCTGGAGTGTCAGATGCTTGGATGCAGCCCCCCCCCGCTGGAAGCTGGTGAGGGGGGGGGGGGGGGGCTGGGGGGTCAGCTAACAACAAGATTCACTTCCCTCCAACAGGGCCGGCAAGCTGTTGCAATTACATTAAATTGCTTTGGGAAATGGTTCTGTGCTACTGATTGTGATCAGGGGGGGTGGGAGAGAGACTTTGCCTAATAAACTCTGATGGGGGAAATGTTGACAAACTTCATATCATAGTGGATAGCGATTTCTCCATATGAGAACCTCACACATATGTAAATTTGGCAACTAACATTTGGGTTTGTTTGTCACTCTGCTCTGCTGAGGACCCCATATGTGAGGTACAGATGGCCTTTCAAATGCTGCATCAAAAACACTCACATAAACACGCCTCATAAGAATTGCAGCAGGAGGTCTATTTCACCACTCTGTGAGATAGCACCTGTGATCTGAAGCTTTTGATCACACCATGGCAATTGATGAGGCTGAACACATGTGACTGAGGGAAACGTCAAAACAGGGCAAAGTCCATGAGATACAACAGAAAACAATAATTGGTGGTTTAACTGGTTTAGCTAAGGGTCTGCATTGCACTGATTTGAATTTTAAAAGTTCTCTGAACTTGATTAATTTTAGATCAATAAAGACAGTTCTCTGATAGCTGCAGGATAAGCAAGATTCAGATTAGCAGATTAGTTTAAATGAAATTGAATTTAACATATTTGTAATAGTTTCACCAGAATTGTTAAAACGGTAACACTAATTGGTGGCATGAGAGAACATGTTTGTTTTGTTTAAAGTCTTACTTGCTATATTATGGTAGACAGCATGCACAACACATAAACGAATATAGACCTTTGCAGAAAATGCATAGGTGAAACTGACATTAATGATGGCTTTGTTTCATTTGACAAGCCAGTAAGCCAGCATGTTGGAATACCAGGGATTGTACATGCTGAGGGGGCGAAACAATCGCTAATACATTATTACTTACACCTGTTCTTGAAAAGCCAACGTTTCTGCTTTTATAAAAGCTTATAATTGTAAACAGACCATTTAGCAGACATTTATTTATCATGTCTGCTAATAACTCATTTTTCTAATTGACGCTAGTATACTGTGGAATAATACTATTTGGAGTGCGGAGCATGATCTCAGGTCAAGCAGTGTTGTTAATTAAGAAAGCAATGCCGATTACTGTGAAGTCATTACTCCCTCAATGAGTTCACAAATGTTATGATTTCACTGTGCATGGACAACATAAGTATACACTAATAGGTTGTGCATTACTACCCTAATACTACTACTTAGTTAGTACTATCCATTTACCCCACTGTTTGCTTGGATAAAACAGCAAATAACAGTAAGTAATCATATAATTAATGTGATTCTGTTTTAATACTTGTAACCTAAAGGAACAGCAGCAATTTTCTAAATATATAAATGTTCATTTGAATCAAAATGAAAAAGAGTGTTATCATTGGTAGGTGGTTATTTACATGTTATGACACTTAATTGTAGCATTACTTTTACTATAATAAAAGGTCCAAACAAAGTCTTTATATTGTACTGCCGTTTTGTACAAGTTCTCTCTGGTGGGAACATCAACATCACTTTTTAAAAATGTGTTGCTCGGAATAGGCTTCATATTGGCTTAACATAATGAGCTAATTTCCAAACTTTCAGTGATATTGTAAGCGCGCTGCGGTGACAGCCATGAATGCACAGCGTCCCTGGCAGAGCCCTAGAGAGATCTCTCTAGGGCTCTGGTCCCTGGTAACCACTCCAATTCTCGCGAGAAGTAAAAAATGTGTTTTTGAGAGTATATTTAAAACTTTTTTGATCGTGTTTAGTTAATAAAAACACATTTGTTATTTATTTGCTACAAGAAGCTTGCTTGTAAGAAGTATTATTAGTATGATGTAACTTTTTGAACAACGCTACACAAATACTTTGGTACTCACCAAATTACTTCCGCATCCGCTATGTTTTCTATTTCGAGGGACAGCACGAAAAAGCTAGAGTAATGTCGTTGTTTGTATGGGATGATATGGAACGAATGTGAGATTCCGCACCTTTGTGACGAATTGGCACTTTTAGTAAACTCTTCGTAGTTTGTTACGGGTTTGGTTCGTGTTGTCACGGCGGAGCATTGGTCGCCACGCTGCGACTCCCAGAGACAAACATGTCTCTGCTGTCCATGATTGAGCAAGCTATCAAATCTTGCAAATATGAACAAGCCAAGATTAACCACAATATTCAACACTACAGAGAAATACTACAGACCTTGTAAGTACTGTAAATCTGAGTCATTCACCACTGTTTTCTCAGGGCCTCAGGGCTCAGGATTTAAATTGAACTCGCCAGACTCTAATTCAAAACAAACTCATTTTAAGTTTACAACTACATATCAGTCCGCTTGTCCTACGTTTGAATGCCTCTCGTGCATTATACCTGCTTTGGATCAGTTGTTAAGGTTTTCTGAAAGATTCACCGAAGTCATTACATTATAAATCATGTTAAAATCCAAACTTTGATTAAACAAATTAAACATCTGTGCAATTGAGAATCCATCCGGCGCTGTGGCTTGGCTGGTTAAAGCGCCTGTCTAGTAAACAGGAGATTTAGGGTTCAAATCCCAGTAGAGCCTTATCCAGCACTGATAGTATCCCATTGAAAAACACAGGGCTAACGAAATGCTTGGTTATTGGGATAGTCATTGTGACGTAACCTCTAGTAATACATTGAGAATATGAGCATATTACAAATGTTTCTACGCAACAGCTAAATAAGAATCCACAAAACTCATAGCACGGAGCATATTGGTCAATGTTCTTTAATAATACATATTCATGAACTTTGTCAAAAAAATGTGTTTATTTAAAAACCATTCATATTGGCCAATGTATTCCAATATGATTTTTAAACTCTCACAAATTGATATCTAGCTTAAAAATGCATTTACTGTAGGATTAGTGGTAAACTGCATGCAGTAGCCTTTACTTTTATTAGGAGACCATTTTATGAAAGCTTGAATAGAAATTACAAGTGGAAAGTTTGCTTGGTTACATTAAAACTCACATTTTTAACTGAGTAGGTTGTTCATATACAATTTTTAACATTATATTTAGTATTATATACTGTGTTATTGTTTCCTTTGTTTGCTTAACTGGCTCCTTATTATTTGTGTGTGTATTCATATGAAGTATTTTCTTGCAGAACACCACAACCAAAGATGGGCACTGATGAGTCAGAATCCTGGTCAGAATTTGCAGATGACGCTGCTCCAGGTAAAACAAAGTATTTCTCAGGCACAATGCTTATTAATCTACATATATCAAACCTGTCAATGAGTTAGCTAGCATTGAAGGCAATGCTGTTATCAAATACAAATAACGGGGTACAACCTCACTTGTAACCTAGGAAAATATAGATTGTTAATTTTAGATTAATACAGCTAAGTCAAGAAAGCAGAGCTGTCGTGTGCAAATGTGTGTCTGTTCAATATAAAGACAAGTCTCATTCTTTTCATACAGGTAGTAATGGTTCAGGTTAAATACTAAAATATCTCAAATGTAACCCCTTGTTTGCATGCTGCTCTCTTCAGATACAGTTACCTCACCCGTGGAGAAAGAAGAAATGGAACTGCTTGAGAGAGCACTGGAGAAAGCTCTTCGGGTCCGCACTGGCACAGTGTCTTCTAAAAAAGACTCAAACAAACAATCTGCATGTCGAAAGGCATCCAGCACTTCAGCTGTCACATCGAAAGAGGGAATGCAGGCTTCTACAGCTCCTAAAGGAAACCAGAAAACCGCCAGATCTACCTCTAAATCAGCCAGTCTTGACAGAAAAGATCACAGAAAGCCTGGTACGTTGGTGTTCAACTCAAAATCTTCACATAGCTACCATCCTGGACAGTGCAAAACCAGAATTAATAGAAACATAATCATGAACTGTTCTGTCTCTTCAGCTGGGATTGTGCATCATCAGGCAGCAAGGGCATCACAGCAGGCTGTCTCAGCGTCTGGCTCACTAGCCCGGGGTCAGTTACACACCTCGACCCTCCACTCAAAAAACAAAACTATAAGAAGCAATGAGCTGAGTGGGACTGACCTGGGCACAGCTGCAGCTTTTTCCACTCATTCACATAACACAGTGCCTGTTTCACATAGATTGGAGTCTGGAGCTCACAGTTTACCTCCACAGAAAGGGTATATTTTTACACAACTGGACTATGAAGAAACCACACTTATCTTTAACCAACCTTTGTTTGCTGTGCTATTATAATTGTTCTTTACGCCTTTGCTTCATGGCAGGAAAGCTTCTGATCAAACAGCAAAATGGAAATCTCTAAGAAGGAAACAAAACAGGTGGCCAAAATCAGTCTGATACTATTGTGATCATTTTACAACTGGTTCAACAGTTTCTCTTCGATCACTAATTCTTCCTATCTACATTATTTTTAGGTTATGGGACAAAGTCGTTGCCCTGCAAAGGAAACCTGTGTCAGGGAGGAGTCACTTCATGGAGAGAATGACAGCTTTGGTATCCTTCCTCTTTGTAGTGATGCCTTTCAAAATGGTCTGGGAAGCCTCGTACATGTTTTCCATGTAGTGTAATGTTGAGTTGGAAATATGCTCAAGTGTAACGTTTAGTTATAATTCCACCCAGCTATAAGACATTGTCAGAATATGTCTCTCAGAGCCTGTATACATTTTATTAATACACTTCTTCCTGTAATCCATCTCATATCTGGCGTATTGTCTTTGACCTCTGACCACTCAAGTTCCCCAAGGATTGGCCATGTGGTTGCCCGGATCAGACCAGGATTTTGGTCGCAAGACTGACTCACCAAGGGCATGACCTCACCCAGCACAGGCAGGCAGAGGAGTTTCTGGGCAAACAGACGCTAGGAGTAGCCACGGAGCAAGGTAAAAGAACAGATGACGCATGCAAACACACAAAAATAGGAGTAGAGGAATGAGGAGGAATGAAGGCGATTGTGTTAGAAAATGATAATTTTAGAGGAAACTGCACAGGAAGTTGGCAGGAAGTGATTTTGTGAGAGCTGTTTGGACCGATTTATCTTCTGCCAATCATACTCAGGACCCTGGGTGAGCAATTGAGATGCACTGACTACCAACATGAGACTAATTACTGTACAATTAAACCAGTCAACTCCAATATATCCTGTAATATTGTTGCTAATGAAGTTTTTTTTTTTCTGTCTAGGTTCTAAAGCAAACCAGTATGACTCCTGTCTGGAACTTGAGAGGTTGTTGGTGGTAGCAGATCATCTCCAGAACTCTGCACACCAAGCAAAAGAAGGTAGGAATTCATCCTGTTCGTCAAACTAGATGGTTTTAAGCAGAAATAAAAATAAAATATTGAAATAAGATATTTCAAAACATTGACTTGCATAATTAAAAGGACATGGTTAGACAAATAATGAAACTGTGTTGTCAGATATAATATCCAAGTGTCAGCAGGTCTTACTGTCTGTAACATGCTCTAATATGCAAAACCTTCAACGATACTGTTATAATGAAGCTGAATGCCCAGGTATTTTCCATTCACACCACTCAAATGACCGTATCACCTTCAGGAAGCAACGTTTGTTGATGTTTATCAGTTATAGCTCAAGTGCAGCAAAAGTATGTTGCTAAAGCAAGTGTGAGAAAGAACTTTCTAGTCATTTCTAGCTCCCTGCTTATACCTCTATTTTGTGTTGTGACCATGAGCATCCAATCTAGCATCCCACATCCACCTTTCAGCGAGTATTTTTATTTCAGAGAGGAATTAATCGTTTATTGCATTCTAACAGCATTTGAAAAATGCAATTTAGCGTGCTAACGAGCTAATGGAGCCGCTCCATCTTGGAGTATGGAAAATGAAAACGGAGCCGCAGTGAAACCTCAGTGCCTCGATAGATCCCCTCCCTGTGACTGTGGGGTTTTAAAGCTGTCTATCCTGACGTGGCTAGGCCAGGGCCTAGCTATTTAAAGCTGAGGCAGCAGAGCAGAAAAACGTTTTAGTGTACGGTTGCTCACGCTCTAAAAATAACCATATTTTCCGTCAGAGTGGGAAGCATGGGATCGATGGAGGCCAGAGGGAGGTTGTCTTTGCCCCACTGGGGCAAATAGTGTGTGGGGCGATGGGATAATTGCACCCCTGCCCCTGACTATAACCTACACATCAGAGGCAGAGCTCAGAGAACTGGAGAATCTGAGAATGAGGGTGGCACTGCTGCAACAGGAGACTTACATTGAGCAGGTAAGAGTTGTTTGCTTTAAGTGAAAAAACTTGAATTAGATGCTGAATCGTGCAAATGATAAGAAAGTCTGTGCATTCTGTTCTGAGTAATAGTCAATACCTTCTAAATGTATTGTATGTATTGACAGTCTTTTGTTCTTTATGACAGGCTCTGTTGGACACTCTGTCCCCTCAGCTTTCATCTATTGTACCTGGGCCTGGATGTCCCGACCTCAGTGTGCTGAGAGGCATGTACTCCCTGCTGGGGGAAGGGGGGGAGCGTTTCCCTGCCATAGTCCTGGACTCTGAGCCTGACTGACCAGAGCACATTACACCTGTTCATGAAATCTACTGTTTATCTTCTTTTACACATAAGAAAAATAAAATATTACCTCTTGGCATAATGCAATCACAATACACAACATTCCAAACATATAACTACTTGGGCACAGACCTTAAAAGTAAAACATATTAGTTGTATCTGCTTAATATATTGTTATTTTAAGATGTAAATAAATCAAACATTAACTTTATACTCCGAATCGGAATATTTTAATTAGTACTTACATTTAGTTAGCGTAGGATTTATTTTTTCGAAATAGTTTTAAGTTATATTTTGATAAAATGTTACTGTGTAAAAAAAAAAAAAACTAGAATAATGGCTAATGGAAAAACTGAACCCATGGTCTGTAATAGAACACTTACTGTACCAGCAGGGGGCGCTCACTCACAGAAGAACTGACCATCAAACACACTAGCAGGGGTCTAATGTTAATCACTTGTTTTGAAAATGTGGATTGCAATTTTGATCCAATGTGTGACCTAGAATTACATGTGGAAATAAGATTTCTCATTAAATACAAACAATAATTTTAAATGGACTCATCTGTGTGCTGCTTGACTGCTGGCCTGCTGGTCTGTGGAGTAAAGTGAAGTAAAGAAACAAAGACTTTTTAATCCTGACTTTCATGGAAAGCACCATAGATGCCATGACTTCAGGCTCATTGCCATGTGTTCAAATGTCTTCCTACTGTCTGTTAAATCAGGCTTTCTGAAGAATTCACATTGCAAATAATTGTATTTGTTAGTTTCTAGCTACGAGATTGACCTGCAACATTTTCAATGTGTTTTATTGCACTGTGAACCCCCAATACTCTACCATAATGTTTCTCCATATGACGTGTTTGCTTTCCTTGCAGACTTTCATAATCTGGCATACATTGAACGATATATAACACGTATGTGGCCAATATGATGTCTCTGCGATCTGAGAAAATTACTAGTCGTGAATTTGCCCGCCACACCTGTTATGAAGGCGTATGTGAGATGCAAGAAGTCCTGAAGAGGCCCAAAAGGCTCGTGCCCACAGATGATGTGTGAATGGTAGGGGCTGTGCCAGACTGGGCGACAGGTGGCGCTGGGTTCACACAGCAGGACGTGGGTGTTTGAGCCCTGCTGCAGAAACCCTCATGTACACACAAAGACGGGATATGCATACTCAAAGCCGGCTAAGTCATAAGGATGCCTGGGTGCCTGGTTCAGTGCATGCTAACTGGTAATGGCATATTTCCCTGAGTAGAGGAATCAAGAGGTTATAAAAAGGAGATGGATATTTCAGCTCCAGATTATGATCTGTGTCTTAAAGGTCCCATATTATACTGTTTTTCATCAATATATTATAGTTCTCAGATATATATACAAAACATGTCTCTGAAGTGTTTGCCTCGAAACACCAAACAGATCATGCATTGTAGCATCCCATAATCCCCTCTGTTTCAGCCCTGTTTCAAAAGTGCTGATTCTCTGTCTGTTACTTTAGATGAAAATAAGGAGCCACTCCCCACTGAGAGACATTTAGTTAAAAAGAACACAATGGTGCTCTAGGAGGAGATTCAGGTGATAAGGGAGGGGGGGGGGGTTACCTTGGTTGGTGATTGGCTAATGGTTACACAAGCCAAATAATCGTTATGACATCATAAAGTGGCCAAAATCTGATCAGCTCATTTTCAGACAGGTTTTTATATAAATGGATCAGGACAAAAAAGTGAGCGAATATTTTTTCCTGAAACTTTCAGAATCTCTTTACACACATGTTTATGTATAAAATACATGAAAAAGTGGATTTTGCACAATAGGTGACCTTTAAACAACTGGAGCATAATGACTAGATCCTCTGATTCTGTTGTTTATCTGAAACACAGTCACACGCCACTCGAGTGCAGCCATGTTGTCCATACGGGATTGGAAATGTGCTGCGTTGGTTCCTTTTCTGCCCATAGAGTCTTGGACAGTGTGTGAGTAAAGGAGGAGGCAGGGAAGCATCCTTGCGATCACGTCAACACTACACACAGGTCCCTGAGGGAGTGGCGCCTACGCAACTCAGCCTTCCTGTGACCTGCATACATCAGCTGCTGCTTGGCTCTGCCTGTCACCGGCCAGGCTCTCCTACTCCCCTCAGCACGGCCCTGGCCCTGCCCAGGTTACTCAGGTCTCACTGCTTTGTCCCCTATTTCTCACGCCTTTAATGCCACATTAATGGAAGAACCCAGACACATTTTTTTTCCGTGGAAGAAGATTTACTTTCTTTCCCACGCCGGTACTTCTGTATGCCTCACGTACTCGCACAGAGAGGGACAGAGTTGAATAGTCTTTTCTTTTTCGTACACATTCCTTCCTACTTGTTCACTTTTCTCACCCTTTTCCTTACCACTTTTTGTAGTCGTAGTCCACTGCAATGTTGGACTTCAAGTACAAATCCACAGAAACCGAACAGTGCTACCAAGAATCCACTTCTGTCCTTCAAATGCCCATTGAACATCCTCTTTCTCCTGCACCCTGCCCCTCACAAACACATTCCTCACTTTTTTTTTTTTGAACTCCTCTTTTGCTCAGCTTCATCTCTGCTGCACAGTGAGCTACAGCAGGGATCTTTAAGTCAGTGTGGTCAGTCATCAGTAAGCGGCATTAGGCAAGGCAAGTTTATTTATATAGCACTTTTCAACACAAGGCAATTCAAAGTGCTTTACAAAAATGAAAGACATTAAGAAAATGGCATTTAAAATCAGTCATTAAAAATAAAAGCTAATAAAATAAACATTAAAAGAAAAAATACATGGATAAAAGTTACAGTGCAGTCTAAGAGTCTATTAGGGTCATTTATTTGATTTCCTCAACCATTCAGCCGGTCTGAGCCAGTTCCCTCCATCAAGTTGAATATCTTCTGTCAAGGCGAAGAAAAAAGTGTCTAAACTAAGGATCTGTTATCCTGCTTATATGGAGGCATGTTTGGAATTTCAATGATAATATTATGTGTCTCTTAATCTGATAATGTAGCTATTAAAGAGCAAGCATGGGCGGTGGTGGCGAAGTCGATAGGGACTTGGCTTGGCAACTGGAAGGTCACCAGTTCAAGTCCCGACAAGACCAAGTGCTACCGAGGTGTCCCTGAGCAAGGCACCGTTCCCTACACTGCTCCCCGGGCGCTGTTCCAAATGGCAGCACACTGCTCCTAACACTAGGATGGGTCAAATGCAGAGAAACAATTTCCCCACGAGGGATTAATAAAAGTCCATTTTATCCATCTCATCCATCCATCCATCATCTTAAGCATGCTTTAATCTAACTGAGGAGAAATATGTTGCTAATAAGAAGCCATGCTTAACAATTCCATAGACATGCTTTTTGAACCCATAATAAATATTTTGTGTCCCCAAAGCTTCAAGAGATGACTTCCCTGGTGCTATCAAATATTATTTTTGGACAGTCTTCATGACAATGTGGTCTCACATGAGTCCTCAAATGGACTTGAAAGCTTTTTGCTTCCTTTTGTTGTAGGTAATACTATACATGAATTCCAATGGCTTTTAGCACCAATTTACTAGAGTCATTATTCAGTTCACAGTTCTTTTAGAGAAAAAAACGTAGAAACAAGAAGATGAAATGTTGCCATGGCAAATCCAGCAATGCTTGAAGATATAGACATGCAGCACATTCATCCTTCCCTAAAATAGGATCTCAGATGTGGAGGTGTGAAACGAGCAAGTTTAGGAGAAAATAGCGATCTGGATTGATGTTCCCTTCATGAAAGAGAGAGATTCAGGCGTTTTAACTACTACGAGGTTGCCTTCCATGCACAAGGGACTGGCACCAGCAGTGTGTGTGGGTGGGACAGCAGTGGGGGCGGCCTATGTTTTTCAAGCTTGTATTCTGTCATGTGTGGGGATGCTCATTAGTGTACATTATCAGGACATTGTATATTTGATGTCTTCCTGGAAATGAGTGTGTGGGTGGTCGTAGGATTTATGTCTGCTCTTGATGTCTAAGCGAGAAGTGGTGGGGTGCAATGGGAACATAATTGAATTGCCTTATGAAGGTGGAACATTTGAGCTATAATGATGAGATGGAATAACTAACTTTCCTATAGGAAGTAATGAGGGATTTCCCTTTCACTTCTGATTAACAGTCAGCAGTAGGCATCTCTATATTACAGGGGTGGCATTTATACTGCAGGAAAAGAAAAAAAGACTGCAATTGAAAAGCAGTGATGGGGAGAAGAAGAAAAGAGGGAACAGTTAACTCTTCTCCCCTCCCCCTTCCTGTGCTTCGTCAACCCCTATTCTCCCTGCTTCAAAGTTTGACGTCACACAAAAGAAGACCAATCAGAGCGCTCGAACTTCTCTGTTTTTCTTCCCTAGCTCCTCCCCTCCCCTGGTCCCTTATATATCCCCCACCACTACATTCAGCAGAGTGTACAATGTGCTGCCAGAAAGCCAGCAGGCAGTGTACAGAGAAACAGCAAGAGAGGGAGAGAGAGAAGGGAAAAGTGTGAGTGGATTTCAGCGCTGACTTCATCTGACAAGCTCATTTATCCGGTCTCAAACAGACCTCCTTCTTCTTTCTCTCTTTTTCTGCCTTTTTGTATATCTTTGTGTTTCTCCAGGCCAGAGCTGACTGCGAACGTGATCCACGAGGCCAACGCTGCAGTCTGGTTTCAGGATCAGCCCACACCATCAGTATGGGCTGTACACAGCCTCGGACCAACTCGGGGCAGGAAGCGCAGTCCCTGGAGGTTGGTGATGCCAAAGTGCCCGAAGTGCTCTCCTCTCTGGAGCGGCTGTCCCAGGCCACTGGAGGCATGGAGAAGTCCTGGTACCGCTGCATCTTTCCCTTTGGAATCATCTCTTTGGTGATCGGTGCAGCAGGAACTGGGGTGACCTACACTTATAATGACCTGCCTCAGACTAAAGTGGTGTCAGTTGTGCTGCTTGTCATGGGTCTTTTGCTGTTGCTGATGGCCACGACCTGTTGGACAGTTCACAAGAAGAAGAGAAGAAAAAAGAAAGAGGGTGGCTCTTTCACCTCTGAGCAGTGTCCCCTGTGAAGCACATGGGGAGAACAGTGGACGGTACTTGAACGCAGAGACATACCCATGGCTGGCTGGGAATTTAGGGGTTGACTAAAAGAACTGCCACTTCACTGCCTCCCTGCTCCAAATCCCCTCAAATCTTAATCACAGAGTTTGGCTCAGCTCATACCGGAGAGAACTTAAGCTGACAAATCATCGAGAGTGGAAGGACAGATAGACAGGACCCTGAATGTCTGTTTAGTCTGGAAAGTTTGGACCATTTTGGATTGACAAGGAGGGATCACCAATGCCTCGCATGCTCTTTAATCATCAGACAGCAAGTGTCCAGTGTCAAAACAACCTCAGAGGAGACACACACAAATATGCCTTGCACACTACATGCATATTTACACGCACGGATACATGGCCCTCGCAGTCCTCACTCACATATGCACTAGCAGTCACAGAGGGAGCTTGCCGGACACCTAACACGCTATGCAGAGCTGCTGCCGGAGTCAATGCTGTCGTCACTAGGCACGTCAGTCACAGCATTCCTCTTGCCAGGACAGGTGACTCTCCAAGAGGCCATAAGTGGGCCAAAGACGGCAACCTGATACCCAGCTCAAAGAGCAGCGCACCCGCGTCAGTGGCCAGCGTCATTCACTCGTCCTGTGACACCGCAGCAATGTGTTGGAGGCTTTTTTTACGCAATGGGAGAGTGGAACTTGAGTCCAGCAGGATCTTGCTGGCATCTGTGTTGACGATGAGCTGGAGAGGGCAGAGGACCTGCTGGGGAAGTGGAAGATGTTTGTGTGTGCTCAAATAAAGATTCTGGTGAACTAAAAAGACTGTTGGACCTTGGACTTCACTACTTAGTAGCAAGATATTTGCACATATAGCCATGTCCATGCCAAGCAAGACAAACTTCTAGTAAGCGACATACTCTGAAAGGCCTTTTGTAACTTCAGCCTCACATTACAAAGGATGGGGGCACAGACTTTCTGACTGACTGATTGTCCTCCTGTCAATGTGCAAGCATTTTCGCCCAGCCTAGTGTCTGATTGGGGCACCTCAACCCTACACAGGGCATGCCAGGATTATTGAAGGACACTACCCCGAGGGGACATGCCACTGCAGGGATACTTTGACTGATCCTACTCCCCTCGGGCCCCTCCCTCTTGGTGCCTTGAGCAAGCACTCATGGAAAAAGGCTCTGTCGCATTCCCCCGTTTCCATCTGAAGCCCCGAGAATATCCCCCCTCGCTCTCTCTCTCTTTCTATTCCTCTCTCTCTCTCTTTACCCCGACACGAATCTCCTTACCCATCCCATAGGCCTTCTGACATCCACAGTTTCTGACTTGATCCCATTCATTTTTGATATATTCCAGGAGAAAATGTGTACAGCCTTTTGACATCTGAATACACTAAAGAGCCCTATAGTTCAGAAATGGGTCATTATCACTATGTGCCAAGGAAAGTGGATTATTTTCTCTCTCATAGTGAAAAGAATATTCACTGAGAGTGACAAATTCCTATTCCAGTCTAAAATTATGCTTCAAGGCTGTCTCGTGAATACTGATGAATGTTTTTGCTCTAAATGACCCTGGGGTTTCCCTTACTTGTGCTTTCAGAGACAATGAGTGAATGTAGCTGCGCTGAGCTCCACATCTGTGAATACCTACTTTCTGTTAGTGTGGGGTCTCACAGGATGAGACACACAACGGCATTTTATTCTTGTCTTAAATATTCTACTTTCTGTCGCTGAATGTAACAAGGGATGGAAAATACAAATCAAGGAATTAGAAAGTGCAATTAACGTATGTATGTAGAATTGAAGGTGTCTGGCCAGTTCTATGTGAAGGACTGTGTAGCAGCCCTATGTACCCTTGAGAACAATCATTGATCACGGTTGCATTGATTTTGGGTACCAGATTAGTAACGCTTTGCTGAGTGAAATCTGTCCATGCATCCAGGGGTAGCAGTTAACACACAATGCCAAAGACCGTCCTGGGGGCCAGCTGCTTCAATAGACATGCAATCGATCGGCCCTTTCCCACACATTTTCTGCGACTCAGAGTGCATTTAGATGTTCCTTTGCATACTGATCGTCAGCCAAACTCTGTTAAACCAAGAGAAGGAAGTAAAGAAAGGGAAGAAATGGGGAAATGACACGTAATGGCATAAAACAAAGCAGAACCTGTCATTACTTTAACTTTTATTTGGGAGTGGGGGGCTATCCCTGCGCTCAGACTGGGATCAGTTATAATGAACATAGGAGTATTATTCTTGTTTTTGTTATTTAGCATACCTTATTTACTGACAAAAAATAGGACTAGCATAGACCAGTCTATACGCAAACCACTGTATACGATAATGTTTTGCCAAATCAGCCTTTAATCTTTTGCTCATAAAGCGTAATTATTAGTTTGTCCTTTTTTAACAATGTAGTACATTGTTGTTGCATACTTGTACTTTCTAACTTTGAAGCTGTATTGTGACAGTGTTTTAATACAAAAAAGTGATGGCAGGTGACCAGAATTTGTTTGTTAATGATGTGAAGTGATTTCCCTTCTGCCTTCTCAAATATTAAAGGGAAAATCTACCTCTCTTTGCTGCGGGGAAATAGATCCCTCACCCAGTAGACAGCCATGCTGTCTTCTAATGCTGTTTGCCACTCCAGCAAGTGACCCAAACAATGTCTGTGTGCCCTCTAATATTTGGTGCTGTATATATGACAATTTTATATTTCTACTGTATATTTCTACTTATCTGTACATCTTTTAATTGTATTAAATAAATGTTATGTGAACACACTGGTCTGTGATGTTCTAGTTTGTAGCTTGAGGTTAAACCCTCCAAGCACTTACTAAATACTTTTCTTTAAACTTCTTCGATTTGGGAGATGATTCAGAGTCATCCACAGGGATAGATACGAATGTATTTGGAATATGGGGAGAGGACAGTGAGAAGATGATGCACTAACACTGTTTTAACTCTATTTTGTGTGCACGTTAGATTATACTTATCACCACACGTAGCCATATACATAGAACATAAAAAACATATTTGGTTGACGAGACCACCTGGGCTTCCCCTGTCCTGTGCTTGAAATTTCGAGGCTGTATATAGACGCATTGCCATGTGCTGCCCTGCCAGCTTGGGTGACTTGGTCAGATACCCAGAGACGGGTGTGATCTTTTGGTTGTTAGGAAAACAGACTGACCAGTAGCAAGCAGAATAAAGGACACCCTCTACTGGCATAATGTTAAAATAAACAGTGCCAGCTTGTTATTGAAACACGAGCAAATTCACTGGGAGTTTGTTTTGTATGTATTACCTCATTTGATCATCCATGGTAACTTTGCTGGGAAACGGCCGTGGGTGTGGAGGAAACGGTGTCAAAGTCTGGATAAAGGGGTGGGGAGGGCAAAGTGCACATGGAGTGGAAGTGGTCAGTTGGATGCTAGGGTCCGCACAGAATGCAGGAAACCATATTGGATCAACTCATCCTCTTCTCAATCTCCAGAATTTGGCTTCAAACCCAAGTATTAAGCACTATTTGGCTTTTATCATACTTTTATTAAACATAACTGACATCAGTTTAAATTGTGAAGCCAGAAAAACATGCACTAAGACGTTAGGTTGTTCTGGATTTGAGCCATGTGACTTTATGTTTTTTTGTTTTTTTATAGGCAATTCTGTCTTCTGTTTTTAATTAGTCACTTCTTGCTCTTGGCTCTAAATGATACCTTTTTATTAGTATTGAGTTACATTTAAATTTGCTTCAGATATTACGGAAGCTGTTTTGGAGACAGCCAGGTGTGGAGGGAAATCACGCATGCCTGGCTAGACAGTCAAATCAAATCACAGCCAGATTTGATCCCGCAGGTACTCGAGAGTACGGGAAGACTGCCACACTCACTGAACACTGATCTTTTTTATATTTCTGGATGAGCATAATGAGACATTGTCAAATACTAACAGATAAAAATATATTGCATTTTGTCATACTCTCATGACCCCCCTTACTTTCCATCTTGTTTCAATATCCTCCCTCTCTTTCTATCGCAAAGGTCAGTCAACAAATGTTTCTATACACAAAAGCTTTTTTTTCATAAAGTGTTCTGCTCTATGTTTCATTAGCTAATACCCTGCTGCATTGTGGCAGCTCTAATGCAATGTAAAGTCATTGCTTTCCAATCTACCTCTCGAATCAAACACAATTACTTCCTGTGGGAGGCAGCAGCTTTATATCGGCACATCTTTTCAGAGAAGACATAATGAATGCTATTGCTAAGTGAACAAAATTGACGACTTGTACCCCGCAGTTTTGTGAGCATGATTTTATTTCTGTAATTATTTTAAATGTAGTTGAAATGCTCCAACCGCTCGCTTTTCCCTAGCCTTAGCCACATTGTGCATTAGGCTACTGAGTAAAATGGTTGGAGTTTCTATGGAAACGGTAACTGCATCAAATTAAGGATGTCACAGTGTCTGCCCCGTCTGAGGTCATTCTGCTACTAGATAATTTGATACAAAAGCTCCAGATTGAGGCAACAATTACATGCTTCAATAAACACAGAGCAATTTAGCAGACATATATTTAGTTTATTCACTGTCACACATGTTTAAGTTGAAATGTATAGAAGAGAAACATTTACAGATTTAACAAAGATAATTAAGCCATTGGCTTGCAAATTGGAATTTGGGTGGGGGAATATTTAATACAAAATATAGTGTTTGTTTTAAACAAAGAAAACTATGTTCTTCATTCTCTTTCGTTCTCTTCTTTTCAAAGAACACTATTGAGTGCTGGAAATTCTCATCATTTAGGTGAGTAGAAGAATGACTGAAGTGCTGATGATGAATAGTAAGCCTGAAAGGAACAAATGATCTCTTCTTGTAGTCTACTCTGCTCCTTTATGACCAAAGAGCAGCAACGAAGAGGACACTATTCATCCAAGACAGTAATCTATTTAATCACAATGGGCATCAGACACAATGGTCTTAATTATCCTTTCATTTCTGTCATTTTCTCAAAGTCAGCTGTCGTCAAAGGCAGAACTAATCTGCTGCTTGAGTTGCTTTTGTTCCTGATCTGTGTGTGTGCTTGTGTTTGTGTGTGAGTGAGAGAGATTACTTCAACGTCATGTTTTTTTTAACATGCTTGTTGAACCAAAAACAAATAACTTACGTTAACTATCGACGTCTCTTGATTAACCTATAACATCAAAGCATCCTCAAAAAATCGATTTGGATATGCATTTCCCTGCTCCTTTATCCTGTACCTCGGACTACAAATGCACCAAAGTGCATCTGGCTAGAATGTACGATGTAATAATTCATTTGAAATAACTATTTCATTGTATTATCACTTGCTTCCAGGGCAAGAGGTACAACCAAACATTTTCTTCGTTGAGGTCAAGTCCTTATATGAATTGGATTCAGCTTTTAACATATCTTCTATATAACAACGTATTGATCAGAATTGATTTACAACAATTAGAATGTAGAGTTTGCTTTTTCTAACAATAATACAAAATGTAGAGAGATCAAATGTGAACAAATTTACCAAATGTATTAAACCGTTTATTGAATAAAAGACATGTTAAATATTGTGATTTTACTCAATGTTTGTTAGTTGGTGAGGCTAAAAGAGTAAAACATGCAAATGTAAATACCAACATCTCTCATTGAGCCCAGGACTAACACAAAACGAGAGATTTCTTTGAAGTATAAAAGTGTCACCAGGACACAGTGTAAAAATAACTTTCTCTGCTTGTTGTACAAAGTAATTTGATACTATGATCATACAAAAACACCTCTGGATCTGACTATGCGCCTGTCCCTTTAAACAGCGTACCTTTAATACGGCTTTTTCTGTTTAACTACATTTCCCTCGATCTACGGTAAATGGGTGGGTTTGTGGACGGTCTTATAATAAGGTTAACCAATGATATACGTCCACTGGCAAGCGCGTAGTTCGAAATGGCATTACCTTGTCCAATGATCTTCTGATAATTTACAGTTTATAAATCCTGACCAATCGCTGCAACTGTTATTCACGCTGGCCAATGAAATCGCTTATTGTTAGTAGATAGGCGTCAACAGTTCTGACCAATTAGATTGAACGTTGTGTTTAAACTGTCGGCGTGGGCGGTCCTAGAGTAGCTTTGGGGGCGGGGCCAAGAAGTAAGTACTCGTGCTTGAATTTGAATTCAGGAAAGAGCTAACAACTTGCTACGATATTAGTCACCACCACAGCACAACAGAAGCAGTGGGCAGGGTTCTTCATCTGTATAACATATTTTCAGGGTGTTTATAGTCTGCGAGTTTGATTTGTGTAACATTAGCTAGTATCGCCGGAACGTTTAATTCACTTCTCAGTGCTGTAGCTACATCACTGTAAGGAGAGATCACTACACTTGCAATGAAAGCGGGCGGTAAGTAACTGAAGTCAACCAAAACTCGCTATTACTACCAGAAATATTGTCATAACGTATTGTATAGTGAGTGGTTTTGAAGCTGCTTTAAATTCTTGCAATTTGACAGTTAGTTTACGTTAGCGCTGGTTATTAGCCACTAGCCAACTCAAACGTTAGCCACGGATTCCTCTTCTGTGTGACTCTAACTATCGTTCAAATGGGTTAATGCTAACAATATTAAATACAATGTGTCTCTCCCTGGTATTGTACCAGTCTGTGGTAATTAAAAACGGTAATGTTATGTTAAACTTCGTGAAACCTGGTCGTTACTTAACGGTAGTTGCATTTGAAGCACAGGAGGGAAATTTGGGCGCTCAGTTGGGTTGACTTTTCCCAGTATTATGCTGAGTTCACTGTCGTTAGATAACGTTAGCTATAAGGTCTGCTTTCAACACGTAACTTTATAATGTTGTATCCTTATATTGAAACTTTGCAAGGTTATCCATGTATTTCATAATTTCTGTATTACAACAGAGGGTTAGACTAGACCACCCGCAGATGCATTAAGTTAAGGCGTTTTGAATGTGGAGCCATAACTTTCACCTTTTACGTGACTATCTGCAAACATACCAACTGGCCTGCTTTTAAATTAAGTGTAAATATTTGCTTGACATTATAGTGGGAATTTGTTGGTGGGTCCAGCACAGGGGTGTGAAATGTTTTTGGGTTGATATTGTGTGTGTGCTCGGTGTGTGTACTTCTGTTCAAGTTTTTGTTCAAGTATATGACGTATCTAACATTTAATTTCCTTTTTTCTCTCACTAGTCCACTGCCGTTGTCCAAAATGTTTCTCGATTCCGGCACGGAAGCGGGTCCGTAAGCGAACTCCAGCCCTAACCCTGCTGTCTCTACCTGAAGAGGTCCTCCTCTGTGTGCTCCAGTGCCTCTCTGCTGAAGACCTGCTGTCTGTCAGAGCAGTGAGTAAACATAATGTAACACTAACACACAAACTAGCATGCATGTGCCAAGATTGGTTTGGGCTTGGGCATCTTGTGACCACCTGATTTTGTTTGTCTGATGACTCATTTATTGATTAACTAATTGTCCTGGCTTCTGTTACAGGTTCACTCCCAGCTGCGGGACATCGTTGACCAGCACTCCAGTGTATGGGCCAGGGTCAGTTTCAGGGACACTTGGCCATCCCCTAGCTCCTTGTGGCTTTTTGAAAGGTACAGTTACTTCTATCAAATAAAGTCAGACAAAACAACTGATGTGTTTTTTCCCCTTTGTTGGATTTTTACCTGGAACATCTCTCTTCTTTCAGAGCTGCCGAGAAAGGGAATTTTGAAGCTGCTGTGAAGCTGGGCATTGCGTTTTTGTACAATG